GTTGTTGGTGAGTGAGCCCATGAACCTAAAATCATGTCAGAATTTAAATGTGCAGTCTAGTAAACAGCGCCAGAACGTACCAGTAGACACAAGTCTGCCATGCAGCATCAGAGAAGCCGTAGAACATGTAAAGAACAAAGGGTCCGCCGTATCCAGGATCGCTCCAGTCCTTCTTGACAGAATTCTTATCCTCGGCCCATTCACGAGTGTATGTCTTCTGGAATGCATAGCCACCCCCCCAAATGCCCATGATAAGCGCGAAAAGTGCAACCCACGCAGCCTTTGCACGGGTGGTACGGCGGAACCTAGGGTTATCGAGCGCATAACCAAAGATGAATGCGCCGATGATTTGCATGATATAGTAGACGACGCCGTTCAAAGCACGCGTGCGCGTGTTAAAATAAGCCGCATTGACTTCGTTGAAGTGGTAGTTGTAGAACCAGTTGGAAGCGAAGAACATGGGGAACAGCGCAATGATATATGGGTCAGTCTTAATTGTCTCGAAAAGGCCGAAAATCTCCGACTTCCAGGATGGGTGCTTCATGACAATGACCTTAGAGCCATCGTGTCGGATAACGTTTTTGGCATCCACCAAAGACCAAGACAGTGCAGCACCGATGAGAGTGAGCACAAGGAAACCGATATAGGTGCCGTCGGTAACGGTGCTCGAAGCTTTGGTGTGGATGTTTTCACCGAGGGGAATCTAGGCACTGTAAGAGACTGGACTGACTGATTGTTTTACTTTCTGACGTACCAAGCTGCCAATGACGGCTCCCAAATTGAAAATCATCCAGAACCATGAAATGTACCTTCCTTTGGACTCCTCCGGAGGGTAAGACATCATAATCGCACCCTGCGCGCACCATAGCAAACCGGCGCAGACACCAAGGAGAGCTCCGGCAAATGTAGAGAAACCAATGTTCTTAGTGTGGCTGTAGCTGAGATAGGATGCAACGTAAATGGAGTAGCCAATGCCACCGAACGACAGGGCAGTCCGGATACCGAGCTTATTGGTGAAAGTTCCAGCGAAGAAACCTACGATCGCAAAGGTTGAGTAGAGGGCAGTATTCGCCTTATCAGAGGCATCGCCTACGATTTGACCGCCGCCTCCCATGCCATTGAGCGCATTGAACATGCCGGGGCACATGAAGCAGACCAGGGAGATAATGACCAACTGGACCGGCGGAGAGGCGAACCAAGGGAATTTGTATCCTCCAATTTTGAGACTCCTATACATCCAGCTGTTCGGTAGTTGCAGAACGTGCGTAGGGATATGCTCCTCAGCGGAGGGATCGACCGAAGTCTTCACTTCATGGGTGGCAACTTTGTCGTCGTTATACTCGGTAGCCATGGTGGTTGACAAGTCGACGGGGCGGGGACGAGTGGGAGGTTCGACCACCGGACGCAGAGAGGGGTCGCGTTCGCCTGTGTATGTAATCCTACGAGGACAGGGAGGAATGGGGAAGAGACAGCGGCGAGTGTGGTGAACGGAAAAGTCAGAACAATAGCACGAGCAGCTGGACGGGGAGAGGTCATCAAATATTATATAGATCGTAGCACCACCACCAGCCGTCCGGAACCACTTGCACGGCAAGCATAGTGTGTGTACAAGGTCTATTTTCTTCAAACCCCCGTCGCCCAGGCCTATCGAAATCGAAAAGAGGAGGAGATGGCTTACTCTAGCCTGCTCCTGTGCCCTGCACGCGAACACGGGGACGCCCTGGGGGTGTGCTTTTTCCGATTATTTCCAGCATCACTGCTATTCAGGGTACATTATTGAATAGTGCTCGAGGCACAGTTATGCGCCGCAGTTTCCGAGCAAACCAAATATACAGCAGTGCCCAGCTTGAAGGTGCCTCGCTTGCCGTGATGTTGCTGATCTGAAAATAGTGGGCGAGAAGAGGGCTGCAAAGAAGCCTTGGAAGCTTCCAAGTCTTCTTTGTAGTGGACTCTGGTGGACCGCGCCGCCAGAAGCCATGGACCGTCCCCTTGCAAGTCCGGCCTCTTTAAAATCGCAACGGACAGCGGACTTTTGATAAGGCTCGTTGGAAAAAGGGTTTGATCGTCTGACCAATCATTTGGCTGCATCTCCGGCTCGGGCGTTTTCCCCCTCGTTCTGGGGAGGGTGTGAGTGCGCCACCACCTCTCTCCGCCATTTCTCCGCTCCAAGCATCACCCCCTAGGCATCTCCTACAGCCACCGTCCACCATCAGCGCTCGCAGTGCAACGGTCGGCTTGTCTTAATGTAACGTTGCTCTGCTCTTACTCATGTTCCTTCGCATTTCTCTCTTAATCCAAGAAAGTTGATATCGGTCCATCGTGACCTTTATCTTTTTACTACTTTGGCCAATTGTCCGCCCTGAGATCTAGTGCAAAGCATATTGGCTTCCGCTTCGTGATAGATAGCCACGTCGCAGTAATGGTAGCAGCCGTCCTGGGGATGGCAATGGATGGTTTGCCGGCACGTTGTAACACAGGCTGGTGTGTGACAAGTTCACGCTTTCTGAGCCAGTGAGCTTCTCTTTCACAGTCGTACTGCATTGTGAACTCACCTAAACCCTTTGCACGCCGCTGCTGTCCGCGAGCACCCGCAATGTCACTGTTTTCTGTAGTCTGGTGGCGTGTAAAATGGATGCGGACGGTGGGTTGACTTGGGTGTGGCGGCCTCTTTGGGAAGGCGGACCCTTTGCAACTGCCCTAGAGCAGCGAACAGCTTGACGGTCGACTTCACCGTGACGTGAGTATTCCATCCTTAGTTGTGAATATAATACCTACACCGCTCCTCAAGCCATCACCTAGACCTTTCAACGCCAAAAACGCACGACCACTGACACGACTTCCACCATGTACGTATCTGCACCCAGCGTGCGGGATCTTGTCTAGACTCACATATTGCAGGAGACTAATCATCAAGGACGACCCCGACACTGCATCCAAGTTCATTGCTGACTATATAATTGGTACGGCTGAACATCCTTGCCATCGTCTCGCCAGACTTCTAACTTCAACCACAACCAGATCGCATCATAGTGTTCGATCCAACTCCAGAGAAACCTTTCGTTCTGGGCCTTCCGACGGGAAGCAGTCCCGTTCTAATATACAAGAATCTGGTGCAGAGGCACAAAGCGGGTGACATCTCTTTTCGCAATGTCGTTACCTTCAATATGGTAAGGCGGTCAAGAAGCATTCTCCCTTGCTTTGACACTGTCATACAAACTCATCTTCCTAACATCAACCAGGACGAATACGTTGGTATTGCGCGCGAGCATCCGGAAAGCTACCACAGCTTCATGTACAAGCACTTCTTCTCCCATGTCGATGTGAATCCGGCGAATATCAATATCCTAAATGGCAATGCCCCGGACCTCGAAGAAGAATGCCTTGCGTATGAGGAAAAGATCAAGAAAGCAGGCGGTATTGAGCTGTTCCTTGGCGGGATAGGACCCGATGGACACATTGCATTCAATGAGCCTGGTTCCAGTCTCAAGTCAAGGACTAGAGTCAAGACGCTCGCCTATGATACTATCATTGCCAACTCCAGGTTCTTTGGCAATGATTTTTCTCAAGTGCCAAAGATGGCCTTGACGGTTGGAGTACAGACGGTCTTAGACGTAAGCCAGTCTTCAAAAGCGTTCTTAAAGTCATCTCACGACTCTTTAGGCTAGAGAGGTCGTCATCATCATCACTGGCGCTCACAAGGCTCTAGCACTTCAGAAGTGCGTCGAGGGCGGCGTCAATCATATGTGGACTCTCTCAAGTCTTCAATTACATCCTCATCCAATGATTGTCGTGGATGAAGATGCCACTCTTGAGCTCCAGGTCAAGACTGTCAAGGTATGTCAGGGCGGCTATCAATCCTTTCCACAGAATTACTAACATCAAATAGTACTTCAAGAGCATCGAAAAGGTAGCCAACGAGTTGGGATTCCAGCAAATGCTTCCCCGGAAGAGAGACTCTGTGGTCGAACCATCTGGACCTATTCCTACTTTACAAGCTAACGCTGCTAACCTGGAGGTTCCGCAACCGCAGATCTCACGCTCGTCGAGCCCCATCCTTGAGGCTATGGGTGCACGAATTTCCGAAAACGAACCCCAAATTTTGAACGCTTTGGATACGGCTGATGATGTACCACTGATCCGCATGGGTGCTCGCGTGGCAGCGAGTTGAGGGGAGCTCATCTGGAATTCTGACTTATAAGGGTAGCAAGGGGTTTGCTGAAATTGCTTTTATCTGAAGGAAATTGATTGTGCGAAACAGTAAATTAAATGATGGATCGATAGATAAGCCCTGGTATATGACTTACCAGGAGTAATCATTGAGAACCTAGTAGAACTGGTCAGTAAATACCCAGAATCAGTTTAGCCCATAAAAGACGCAACATAGTAGACGTGCCCGGGGGGTAGGATTCATAGTAAAGAACAGGACATAGTAGCCCCTTATGTAGAGTAGCTTATGTAAATAATAGTTCTTAATATAAAACGAACCTTTATCTTTACCTCTTTTAGCTCTTCCATGTTATCTAAATATATCTCTACGGTTCTAGTTTTTTACTACAAACTCCGGAAATCACATAAAGGCGAGAGGAAGGGATACCATACGTTATTGCACTCGTTGATTAAATATAACTTATAACTCGACCTATAGAACATAGGATGACGATCTTTAGTCTTCTTTGGCATCTTAGAGGTGTCTGAGTTAGATTTTATTTTTAAGTTTTTTTTTGAACTGGCATCGATGTCTGTTTAAGATTACAGAACATTGCCCTTTGGTTTGCAAGGAAAGCCTAATAGAGGTCAACAACATAAAAAAGTCTACCAAAATCCAAAAAGAAATTTTTATTGTTTTCTTGTTCAGACATCCCGTCTAATAAAGTTAAGTTCATTCTATAATGATGCAATGATGCTTGCGGATGTGCGGTCTCCACGTTTGTGTTCTCGCTTAAAATTTATATATTCATAATTTACAATTTATAAAAATTTTACATCAATTCAATAGATCCGCCCGGCTAGCTCAATCGGTAGAGCGTGAGACTCTTAAGTTTCCCGTTCCCTTCGAACGATTGAAAATTCGGCATCTCAAGGTTGTGGGTTCGACCCCCACGTCGGGCTATTTCTATATTTTTCTTTTTATTCCTAGAGCTGGATAGGAGGGGCTTTATTATGTTGATGAAAGGGGTGGAATCGGTCTTTTTATGTGTGACGGCTAGACGGAACACCTTACTGGAACAAAGTAAGAACTGAAAAAGGATACAAGAAGACCGTGCATGCGGGTATAGACATTGATATTCCTTTACGAGGCCGGCGAGGTACATCAAGAATTCACACGCCTGCTCGTTATAGTGCCATTCACGCCTTACAGCTGTTCCATTTAACTACATTTTATTGTAGATGGCTAGAATATATCACCCTTTGCTTTGATTTACAACAAAGGCAAGTTGCGATAATCTGGAGTTATCATGTTCTGATGTCCTAGCTATCTGTTAGACTTGTATACGAATGTAACATTAGCGTTAACTTCGATATGCTTACGGTTGGTCTATGTCTTCTGAGATTCAAACCATACTTACTCATCGCACTGTCTTCTAGTAAGCAGTTCGAAAAATAAAGGCACGAGGGCGAGTCAGAGATGGAAGTATTCGTGTCAGCTTAGAGGATAGATTCGGCTATCTTGATACGAATGTGGATTATCGGAACTGAAATGGCCCTACCTCCGTTCACCCAATAGAATATAATTTTAACCAAGGGTACTTCATGGTCTGGCCAATTCCAGTCACACAAAGTTGATATCCAGGCGCTTATAGGTCTTCGTTG